AGAGAGAGAGAGAGAGAGAGAGAAAGAAAGAAAGAAAGAAAGAAAGAAAGAAAGAAAGAAAGAAAGAAAGAAAGAAAGAAAGAAAGAAAGAAAGAAGCGAACTGGAGTTGTCTACAGGCCAATTTTATGGATGCACTTTCTTAGTTAAGAGTCCCTCTTCCCAGATATGTCTAGGTTTGGGTCCAGCTGACAAAAGCTAACCAGCACACCTATTAAACAGCCTTCAGCCTGGGAGAGAAGAGGCTGTGGAGGCAGCTTCAGAAATGACAGACAGTAGAACAAGGTGTGGTGACTGCAATATCAGCAGTCCTGAGGCTGAAGCAGGGGGATACTGAGTTTGAGCTAGACTGGGCTACAAAAAAGACCCTGTTTCAAATGAAGAAAAAGTCACTTAGTAACGTCCAGGTGTCTACAGGGGCACCACGGTCCTAAGAGGATGTGTCCCATCAGGAGCTGGAAGTGGGCTGGAGAATTAGCCCAGCAGTTAAGAGGACTTGTTGTTCTCACAAAGGACCCAAGTTCGATTCCCAGCACCCACACTATGGCTAGCAACCACCTAGAACTCCAGTCCCAGGAAATCTAGTGCTCTCTTCTGGCTTTTGAGGACACCAGGCATTCATGTGATGGGCATATATACATGCACACAAAACACTCAAACACATCAAATAAAAAAATCCAATTTTGTTTAAGAACTGTGGGAATGAGCCAGGTATAATGGTGCATGCCTTTAATCCTAGCACTTGGGGGAGCAAAGGCAGGTGGATCTCTGTGAGTTCGAGGCCAGCCTGGTCTACAGAGTGAGTTCCAGGACAGCCAGGGCTATGTAGAGAGACATCGTCTCTCAAAAAACAAACAAACAAACAAACAAGCAAAAAAAAAAAAAAAAAACCAACAACAAAACCAAACTATAGGAATGAGGTCTTGTACGTGGGAATGAATCTCTCACTCCTACCAACCCACAATATATATCCACTTATGTACACATATACACAGGAAGTACAAATAGTCACCTTCATAGACAAATATGTATGCACATAAATACATGCACACATATATAATTTTTTTTTAGTGCAGGGGGCTGAACCTAGGATCCATTCATACTAGGCAAGAACTCCACCACTGGGCTACATCCCCAAACCCGCACAGACTAATGATTGTTTGGGCCAGAGTCTCACATTATACCAGGCCGTCCTTGAGCTCAGGATCCTGAGTGGTGAGATTACAGGACTAGGGCATCGTGTTCGACTTTCTCCATACACACGTCTTTTGCAGGAAGACCCCTAGCCATGGGAAAATGAGATGTTATGGGAAGCAGGGTGAAGAAGGACAATTTCCTGTCATTCATGTGTCTGGAGGGACACAGAGGCCCAGAAGGTGGCTTGAACGACTGGGAACATTTAAGTAGAGGATGGAAAATTCTAGTTAGGCTTTTGACAGCTCCGGCCCTGTCCACTCTTCCCAGGAGCCATCTCTCCTAAAGCCGCCCCTTTGTACCATGAGGCCTCAAATCTAATGCCAACCTTCCTTCCCTCTTCTGGCTCCACCCTCAGGGCTTAGCTGATTGGTTCCCTCCCTCAGGACGAATCATTGGTGCTATCTCAGCTGCCACACTGCTCAGTCACCATCTAGATTCCTGTCTCACCCACTCCTGCCCCAGACTTCAAGATCCCCAGGACAGCGGTAACCCGGCATTTGTCTTTGCCAGTTCCCTGTCAAAGGCCTTCTACCTAACAGGGCTTAGGAAATGGCTGAGAATACACAACAGATTAAAGATGGCCCTGAAACCTCATCGCCTATTAGAATGTCAGCCACAGCCCATAGAAAGCCCCTTCACCACAGATCAGGGTGGAAAGCCTCAGAAGGGAAGTCTTCAGATGGCCACAGGAAGTCAGACAGACCCAGGCTGGAGCCCAAAGAAGGCACAGAGCTGAATGTGAGGAATTCCTTACCTACGAAGATGTAAACCAGAGCTCAGACACGGTCAGAAGGAAGGTGACCTGGGACCTGGGCACAGATGGAGTCTGGCGCTTGACAAGGAAACCAAGTCCAAGGACAGAAACAAGTAATCCACAGCCAGGGAAGGCAGAATGCTGCTAGGCTCCCACTAGAGGGCGGGGCAAAGGCAGGGCTGAACCCTGGGCTTGGATGCACCCAGGGGATGTGAGATGTCCTTGGGGAACCAGTGTAGCCAGTGCCAGTCGGGCAGGGCAGATGAATGGTGGTGTGGAGGAGTGTGTGAGGTGATGTTCAGAAATCTGTCCTGAATGGGAAAGACGGGCCACTTCAACTGTCACCTTGTACCTGTTTGGGACATTTTTATTTTTTATTTATTTATTTTTTGTTGTTTTTCTTTTCTCCCCTCCCCCCAGCTGGACTGAACCCAGGGCCTTGCACTTGCTAGGCAAGTGCTCTACCACTGAGCTAAATCCCCAACCCTTACACTTTTATTTTTATAAACAGAATCCATACTGGAGTCATTTGTCTTTGGATTATTACACCAACATGTGGGGCTCACCCAGGGACAATGACATCCATCTGCATGGCCAGCTTTCTGGAACCAGGATGGGGACAGTCTCCAAGCCACACTTCTGGCAGTTTGAGATGTTCTGCTTTGTCTGCTTCATCTTTCCAAGATGCAGAAACACTGAGGTTCACAGAAGCCTGCTGCCCCATCCAGACCTGATAAAGGCTCAGAGGGGAGGGTCACATGTCCCGTTTTGTTCTCACCCCTGCCACCAGCAGGCCAGCATTGCTCCGGTTAGAGTCAGGAGTGGTAGTGCACAGCTGTAGTGCACAGCTGTAATTCTAGGGCTGAGGAGGTGGAGGCAGGAGGGTCAAGAGCTCAGGGGCGCCTTCCACTGTGTAAGATTCAAGGGGAGCCTGGGCTACATTCGATTCTGTCTCAAAAGGAGAAACAGGCAGAGGAGCAGGGAGGAGAAAAGAGAGGGAGAGAGAAAAGGGAAGAGGGAGAAGGAAGAGGAGAAGGATCACTACTAGTAGATACTGAAAGTTCCAGCCACAAAAGTCACCCCAAATGTTGTAACCATTGTTTGGAAATGTGCAATGGCGGGTCTCCATATATCTATCCATATCCATCCATCCATCCATCCATCCATCCATCCATCCATCCATCCATCATCTATTATCCATGCATCCATGCATCCATCCATCTATCCATCAATTCATCATCCATCCACTCATCCATCATCCATCCATCCACTCATCCATCATCCATCCATCCATCAATCCATCATCCATCCATCCATCCATCCTCCATCCACCCATCCATCATTCATCATCCATCCATCTGTCTACCCACTCATCCATCCATCCATCCATCCATCCACTCATGTCCATCCATCCACCCATCATCCACCCATCATCCACCCATCCATCCATCCATCCATCCATCCATCCATCCATCCATCCATCCATCCATATCCATCCATCCATCCATCCATCCATCCATCCATCCATCCACCCATTCCTTTGCTCACTTGGTTATTTAGTCAATAACCAGGATTAGAACCCTGGCAGAAAACCCTGAGGAACTTTCAGCTCAGGGCAGGAAGCAGAGCTGGTCTTCATCATTGCAAAGAAGGGGCAGAAAATGAAAACACAAGACTCCAGGGGCCAAGTGCGGGGAACACAGGATGAAAGTGGAAGAGTGGACGAAGGGGGGAAACTGTCCAAGGAAGAGCACTTTAAAAGCACTTTAAATAGCCAGGCAGTGGTGGTGAGCACCTTTGATCCCAGCACTCAGGAGACAGAGGCAGGTGTATCTCTGAGAGTTCGAGGCCAGCGTGGTCTAGAGTGAGTTCCAGGACAGCTTAGGCTACACAGAGAAACCCTGTCTTAAAAAACCAAAATAAATAAATAAATAATAAAAGAATATTTTTCTCTGTCTTCCTCCCTGTTCTTTCTGAGACAGGGGCTCATGTACTCCAGACAGGCCTGGGACCCACAATGCAGCTGAGGATGACCCTGAAGTAATCATCCTCATGCCTCCACCGCCTGAGTGCTGGACTACAGGAGCACAGCATCACGTGAGGCTCTCTCTACGAAGGATCCTTTATCAGGGGAGTAAGAAGTCAAAATGGGCCAGATTTGGTGGCTAATCCTCTCCACATCCTCTTTGGCTGGTTCCTCTCCCTTCTACAGCCAGCTCTGAGGCCTCCACTTCCTTCATGGCCGCCTGGCGCAGAGATATGGCACATGCTTCTGACACACATCTGGCCTCAAGGCGGCTTTGGAAAGGAAATTCTGGGAAAGGAGGACCAGTGTTCTAGGGCCGTCTGAGGCCAGTCAGATGCCATCCAGAGTTCACATTACAATCTGGAGCCCTGGATAATCTGGACTTGAGTAATTGATTCTACTAATTCACAATATGTTAGTTTTGACAATTACATGAAAAAAAATTTTTTTCAAGACAGAGTTTCTCTGTGTAACACCCCTGGCTGTCCTGAAACTCTCTCTGTAGACCAGGCTGGCCTCGAACTCAAAGATCTGCCTGCTCTGCCTCCGGAGTGCTGGAATTAAAGGCCTGTGCCACCAAGGTCCAGCAAAATAAAGTTTCTTAAGACAAGTGAAAGGGCAGGGTGTGTGGCACACGCCTTTGATCCCAGCACTTGGGAGGCAAAGGCATGTGAATCTCTGAGTTCAAGGCCAGCCTGGTCTACTGAGAGAGTTCCAGGACTGCCAGGGCTGTTACACAGAGAAACCCTGACTCCAAAAACAAAACCAAACAAAAACCACCACCAACAAAAGACAAGTGAAGGGAATCACATTTGGCACTACCTCCAGCCAAATGAAGAGCATTGCGGCCAGCATGGAGGATCTGAGCGCCTCTGCCAGCAGATGCTGCTGACACCCACAGCTTTTCTCCACATCACAACGCTCTGCGGACTCTGATCTCAGTGTGAGCAACAGTTTAGATAAGGGAGCGATGGTAAGAACCCGGCTGTATCTAACAAATCTCCCCTGGTCCCGCCATAAGACCTCTCCCATCTTACTTGGCAGACAGAAGGACTCGGTGGCTGGCACATTTTTGGCTGTTTGTTTTGCTTTATTATATATTCCATTGGGGGGGGGGGTGCGGGGAGGTGCATGCGTTTGTGTGAATGAGTAGGCCAGAGGTCGATGCCAGCATCTCCTCCATTGCTCTCTACCTCAGCTTTTGAGACTTAGTTTCTTGCTGAACCTGGAGCTCAATGATTAGGTAGGCAAGACTAGCTGCCATCAAGTTCAAAGGTGTCTGTGCTACAACTTCAGGCATGTGCTGCCATGGTAGGGAAAGGAGCTTATGTGGATGCTGGACATCTGAACTCAGGTTCTTATGCTAGCTCGTAGGTAAGCATTTACCTACTGAGTCACTGCCTAGACTACTTGGTTTTTTGTTTTGTTTCGTTTCATTTCGTTTTTTTGAGACAGCATCTCTTGTAACCCAGCCTGGCTTTGAACTCCTTAATCCTCCTGCCTCCACTGCCATAGTGCTGACATTGCCGACAGACATGTGTCGCTATACCCAGATGGCTGGAGAATCTTCAATACCAGGAAAACTGAATTCCACTCTGTATCATCTCAGGCAGGAAAGAGCTGAACATGGGCACAGGACAAAAGAGGCCTCCCATTCTGGGCTTGGACAGTGGGATATCCATGGAAACAATACTCTGCAGGCCACAGTGCTCTCCCTCAAGCGGTTCCCTGCTTGCCAAGCGGAACAGACTTAAAGGAGTCTGACTTTTCAGCCTTTGAAGAGCCATCACTTCGGAAAACAGGGGCTGTGACTTATTATTTTTTGTGATACAAGAGAGTGAGCCCAAGGCCTTGTACATGTTACGTGGCCCACTTTAAAACTCAGTGAAGAGCTGGGCAGTGGTGGCACATTCCTTTAATCCCAACCCTCAGGAGGCAGAGGCAGGTGGATCTCTGTGAGTTCAAGCCCAGCCTGGTCTACAAAGCGAGTTCCAGGACAGCCAGGGCTGTCACACAGAGAAACCCTGTCTCGAAAAACCAAAACAAAACCAAACCTCAGTGCAGGCCAGGATACTGCCTCAGAAAAATGCACCAGTGAGCCTCTCACTATTGACAGTGGATGGAGCCTGGGCCTTGCACTTGTCACACAGGGCTCTACCACTGAGCCACACTCCCAGTCCCCCTCCAGCTGTTCTAACAGACACACCACAGTGAGCTGCACTCATTGGCCACCAGCTCCGAGTCTAGTATTTAGGATTTGAACTGTGAATCAAATGACAGTGGGACCTGCAGAGTCACACAATGTGGGGAGCCACACACTTCAGCTTTAGGAAGTTCAAAGACAGCTCCCTGCACATTCAGCAAAGACTGAAGACGACTGGAAAACAGAAGATCCTAGGATGCTGTAACATGACAAAGGGACAGGCATGGTGGAAGTGAGTGCTTTTGAACAACCATGGACACAGGGAACTCTAAAGAGTCCTAGGATGAGTCGCCCATGGATGCTGAGGGCTTGGTGATCCAGTCTCCATCATCAGATTCATTAGATTTAGGATCACCCAGGAGACATATCTCCAAAGGGCTTTTCCAGAGAGGTTCAGCTGAGGAAGGGCCTGGCATTCGGTGGTGTTATCCATGGGTTATGGACTGCTCTAGTGGAAGTCCCACCTCTCTGCCCAGAGCCTGTCCCTCAGAAAGTCCTGCCAAACATGGCTCCTCCCCTAGAGATGCTCAAGACTACTCCCACAGGGCATTTAAACTGCCCCCCAGAAAACAGACAGGTGGTTTTTGGGTCTCTCATCCCTTTCTCTTTTCTGGGAGGTAGGAGAATCACCTAGGAGTGCTTTACCCATTAAACTGGGGCTTTTTCTAATTTGGTCTGATTTGGTCTGGTTTGGATTGTTGTATCGGCGGAGAAGCCTGTCTGGGTGCAAAAACTTTTCAGGGACCAAGACTGAACACCAGCATTCACCTCTCTCTGCTTCCTGAGTATGGACTCCATGTGACCAGCAACTCACACTCACACTCCTCATCTTCCTCACCACATTCCTTAAATTGTCTTGGTTGGCGTTTAGGTGGAAGCCCCATCTCAGTCCCACCTCTTTCTCTCCAGACCCTGTCCCTGAGAAAGCCTGCCAAGCGGCGGCTCCTCCCTCTGAGATGAGATCACGCCTACAGGGTACTTAAGACCTGGCCTATAGACTTGCTGGGTGGTTTCTCCTCTTCCCCTGGGGCTACCCAGGAATGTTTTGCTCAGATTAAACCTGGACTTATTAATTTGGCCTGATCTGACTTATTGCTTCAGCAGGGTTACCCACTACCGAGGGATATTTTATTTATCAGCTGGGTATTTTGTCATAGGAAAGGGAAAAGTCGCTAACACAGAGGTAACTGTATGGGGGGACTCACCGGGCACCTCTGGGGATGAATTGAGAATCATGAAGGCATCTGACAGGCCTGCCTTGACAGGGTGCTGGGCAGAGCTGATTTCCAGGACAGCCATAGGGATCTGCAGTGGGGAGAAGAGGCACCAGCCATCCACCCAGAACCCTCTGTGGCCACCAAGTCCCCACTCAGAGCTCCACAGCCAGCTCTCTGCTCAGGAACCAAATCCTAGGACTCCCGCACTTCCTCTTCCATGGACCCTCTGGCTCCACCCAGGCCGGAAGTCGCCCTCGGCTCTCCCTTTCTTTTCTCTCCACTTTCCCTCTTCTCAGCCCTCTCCAAATACTGTGGGTTAACCCAGTGGCTCTTACATCTGTCTGGTTCTCTCATCTCCCTTCTCCAAGCTACATCACGTCCCTGGACCATCTCCCAGCATTCCCTTAAATCTTCAACAATCTGTCCTCCACTGTGGAGCCACAGTAGCCTTTTCCAAAGGTGCATCTGGTTGTTCCACGCGCCATCCTGTCCCCCAACTCTCCCCTCCAGAAAAGCCACCTTCATCTAGTGCTTTGTATAAACCATGCTCTGTCCTGCCACAGACCTCGGCATTGGCATTCCGTTCTCTCCTCCATGTGGTTGTGTGGTTGGAAAGAAAATGGCCCCCAAAGGGAGTGGCACTGTTAGGAGGTGTGGCCTTACTGGAGGAAGCGTGTCACTGTGGAGGCGGGCTTTGAGGTCTCATATATGCTCAAGCCATGCCCAGTGAGACAGACCACTTCCTGTTGCCTGTGAGTCAAGAATAGAACTCTCAGCTCCTTCTCCAGCACCATGTCTGCCTGCATGCTGCCTTGCTTCCCACCATGACGATAACGGACTGAACCTCTGAACTGTAACTGAGCTACCACAATGAAATGTTTTCCTTTATAAGAGTGGCCGTGGTCATGGTGTCTCTTCACAGCAATAGAGACCCTAAGTAAGATGGCGCTTCCTTCTTTTCTTTCCTTCCTTCACTCCTGTTCATCCTACAGTTTTCAACCCTTTTCCTCAGGGGAGCTTCCCCTGGCCTCTGACAACGTGAAGATCCCCACAGCCGGCTTTTAGCACCGGAAGCCTTCATGTAGGGGCACTAACCAGACTGGCACTTCCATATTGGTCTCTGTAACCATCTCTCTCGATCTGCGTAAGCACCAAGTCCACAGATAAGCCCAGAGCTGTCGTGGCACCGAGTCCAGTGCCCAGCACACTGCAGATGATCCATAAAGATTTTCTGGATAAATGGGAGGCTCTGGAGCTCACTCACCTCTTTGTAGCCGAAGACAATGCGGCCATCTTGGTGAAGGGCTGCCTGGAAGGTGAAGCTGCCCCTGTCCTCTCGGCCTTGGAGGTAAACATGGTCCCACTGAACCACAAAGACTGTCCCTGAGGAGAACAGAGACCTGGCTGAACAGGGAGCCAGTGCAGGGGGACCCAGCAGACGTGGTAGTCAGAGATAGGGGGGCATTTGTGAGTTTGAGAAGCAGGAACTGGACAACCCACACCACTAGTCTGGCTTCCGAGCTACAGAGGCCCCCTAAGACCCTGTTCCTGCCCCAGCTGTACTGTGTGCATACCCCTTCTTCCTTGCCTATCCTGACCCCTGGAGACAAAAGGGAAAATGGAAATGTCTGTCTCCTGGGGGCGGGGCCTGACGAGAGTGAGAAGTAGTGGAGGTTCCTGAGAAAGCGTCCCTCTCTTCATCTGGCTCAACGGTCCCCTTCTCACAGTGTGAAAACGGCCTGGGGTGGGATGGAAAGGTGGCTGTCTGCCTGTGTGACTGTGGGCCCAGGGCTCCCGGGAAGGGGTTAGGCCAGGACCCCCCAGTGCAAGGTGAACTATCCTCTGAGATCGGACCTCACCATTGTCAAAGTAAGCAACTGTGGAGTTGTCGGAGTAGCCGGGGTTGAAGTTGGCCATCAGGGGCGCCACATACTGAGTAGCTGTGAGCATCCGGTGGAGCACGTCGCCCATGAAGATAAAGCCTGTGGGAGAGAGGTTTGGGGCATCACTAGAAATGGCTCAAGGGGCTGCCTCTAGGGCTGCCCCCTCCCACTGGCAGGGGCTAGACATGAGCCTCGTGGCCTTATGCCCTCCCCACCCGGCGGGCTCTGGACTTGGTAAGACAGAAAAATGGCCCAGACTAGAGAATGGTTGTCCTTTGTCTCTGGGTAGGAGAAGGAAGAGAAAGTGAGGCCCATCTTCCCCATTTTCAGGGGAAATAGGAAACAGAATGACAGTGACAGAAATCAAAGAGACTCCTCATATCCACAGGGACCCTGGTCCTTGCTTCCTCAGGCTCAGACTCAGAAGTGGAGACCCCAGAGCTATGCATACTCTGACTGTGTTGGTCCAGAGGGATGGATGCATGCGGGTGCGCCTACGTGCGCTCTCTCTCCAGTGAGTCCCTCAAGAGCCTCCCTGAGTCAGGCTGAGACCTCCAAGCACCCTCCCCTCAACCTCACTGGTTTTTCCTTACCTCCAGTTGCTATGGTGATCTGCCGAAGAGGATGCCCGTAGAAAGGGAAATCAAAGGACAAGACCACTCTCTGCAGGGACAGGAGAGAGTCCCCATGGGTAGAGCTGCCAGCCCAATACTGGTCACCCTCCCTGCTCCAGATTTGTCTGAACAACGCAGGCATAAGCACACCCAGGGTAGGTCCCTGAGGACTCCAGCTGAGTACGCGCACTGAGCATTCTCTGACCGTACCTACCCCAGATCACAAACCTCAGGCCATAACTATGTCCATGTCCAGGCAGTCGATGCTGGCCTAGTCCCCAGCCTCCCAGCCCAGGCTGTCCTGCTAGGCCTAGGCACTCACCGAAGCCTGCCGGTGAGAGCTTGAGAGGATCCTGTGGACCTTCACGTGGCTCCGGTTGGCCACGGCTATGTCTACCCACAGATCCCTGCTGCGACGCTCACCAGGACCATAGACACGGGACACATAGTAGTTGTGGTTGTCTTCCTGTGGGGACAGAGATAGAGCCCATGGGAGGTGTGATGAGCCAGGTAAGCTGGGCACCACTCTCTGCCCCTCCCTACCCAGACTTCCCCCAGATCCTCTTGGCCCAGAGCACTGGACCCACTGCTTTAGGCCTGGGAGCTTCTGGAACAACCCTGGAGAGCACAGTACTGCACCATTCCTCACAGGTTTGGCCCTAGCCAAATCCACAGTAGCTCCATTTGGGCTCAGCTCTGTCCTGCCCAGACAAGCCAGAGGCTTATCCTGTAACCCTGGATGTTTCAGATGACAAAGGCCAAGTTCAACATTGGAGACATGATGGAGAAAACCGCAGATAAAGCCTTTGTCTAAAAGGAGGGTGCTGAGACCACAGGGGACGCAGACTTGCTGACCTGCCCTAAGAAAAAAGAGAAAGACAACTACAACAACTAGGTCTTGGACGACGAAGGGAGGAGGCGGTTGCTGGTCTGTTGGAGGAGGCAGGCACTGGAACACTCAGTCGTGGGCATGAGCAGAGCAGAGGGCAGCAGCTGTGACTGTGGTCAGCAGATGGAGTGAAGGAAGAGAGAAGTGAGGAGTTCCTCAAGGGATAATTTTGCATCTCCCTATGTGGTTGATGGGGATACCACAGCCGGCTGGGTTCATTCCACAGTCTCCCTTGGAGGAGCATCTGGGGCCAGAGCTTATAGCAGGGCAGGGAAATGGCTGGCAGAAAGAATGGGAGAGCCAGCAGGTGGGGCTGTGTCTCAGCACTTTCTGGAGCTGGCCCAAGAGCACCTCAGAAGGCTAGTGGGAGGTCAGAGGCTCCGGAGGCTGCATCGGGCACAGTGATGTCCTGGGCATCGTGGATCGTTAATCAGGCTGCAGACACAGCAGAGCAAACCGTGTTCTTCCTGTCGAGCTGCCAACTGCCCAGCCAGCCCTTGGCCTGAGCCCAGGAGGAGCAGGGAGCTGGGGCCCTGATCACTGCATGCCTGCAGACCAGCAGACTGTGATTCTGATGAGCGACACTCTCTGAACACAGGTTTGGAGACCTAGGGCTGCGGAGGGCTTGAAGAGAAAAGCAAAGGACCATGGGAAATTCTTCCGGAACCACCTGCTATTGCAGGTCTGCTGCTGGGTGCTCTCTGTTCCCGCCTCAAACAAAACAGTTCAAGAAAGGCCAGCTTTGGGCCGGAGTGACGGCTCACTCTTAACTCAAGAGTGCTTGCCGCTCCTGCAGAGGACCAGAGTTCAGTTCCCAGCACCCACATTGCAGGGCTCACAGTTGCCTAGAACTCCAGCTCCAGGGGATCTGATCTGTGAAAAAAGGAAACCAAGTTTAGATGCTATTCAGCCCATCATGTTGTTGTCGTTTTTTTTAACACAGGGTCTCATGTAGCTCAGGTTGGCCTAGAATTTGCTTTGTAGCCAAGGATGGCCTTGAACTCCCAGTATTCACTCCTGATTCCACCTCTTGAGTGCTTGAGATTTCAGGGACGTGCCACCATGCTGGCTTAAATGGCAGTTTCAGCTTCAACTTGAGCCCTTGACATGCAGGAAGAAGAGAGTCCACCTCTGTAGCTGTGGACCAAGTTCTCCCTCACCTGCTCATCAGTGCTCAAGAAGTGTGTAAGAGTCAGGTATGGTAGAGCATACATGTAATACCAGGAATGTGGGAGGCTGAGGCAGGAGTTCAAGGCCAGCCAGAGATTCCTAGAGTCAGGGTCAGCTTAGGTAACATATCGAGACTCTGCCTCAAAACACAAAATAAACACACAAAACCCAGCTGGGGACACAGCTCAGTGGTAGACCACATGCAAGGCTCAGGGTTTGGTCCCCAGGAGAGCAACAAAGGAGACATCAACAAACCATGTTTGGGGCACAGTGTGCCCTCTTATGACTAAGAGACTAGTGAGGGACCAGGGCCCGCAGTGGGTTGAAAGTTTGGGAATAATCTGCCTCCTTAAAGGCTGAAGTCCTGGCTGACAGTGAAGGGGAAGGCATGAGAGGCAAGCTCTGGGGTCTGGTCCTTGGGCACGCTGCAGAGGGTTTAACCCAGCCTTCCTAGTACCTAAGAAGTTGCCCTCCCTGGAGAGCAGCCTCTGCAGGTAAGTGGAGTCAAGGGAACAGAAGGTCACCCTGGATCAGGTAGGCGTTGATCCAATGGCTGCTGTCTTTATCACTAGGAGAGGGCCAGGCAGAGGAAATGAGGGGCACAAGAAGTCACGTGACCACAGAGGCTGAGCCTGGACTGATGTTCCCAGGCCAAGGAGGGCCAGGGACTGCCAGGAGTCACCAGGAGCTAAGAAACTGCAAGGACAGGCCCTTCCCAGGGCCTCCAGAGGGAACGTGGCTTCAGTCTCTAGGCATGAGGGAGAATAAATGGAATAATAATATAAGAATAAATCACTTAATAATAAGAATAAATGGAATAATACTTTGTTGTGGCCGAAAACGAATTCAGGTGCCCACAGCTGAGTGCCGCTCGGGCTCAGTGGGGACAACCTGGAGCTGTTTACCTCTTTCCCTGTCACCCCCTGCTTAGGACACCATGGCATCCAGCTAAAGAGAATGAATATCAGGCCTCTTACCACAGGGCACAAGGCCCTGTGGGGCAGAATCTGCCTGGCCAACATCTACTCCCAACTCCTCTTTCCTAAGAGAACATCACAGGAAGTAACACATCCCACCTCCACCAACAAAACAGAAAACAAACACCTGGCGGTTGAGGTTCTGTTGGACTCTTCTGAAAGAAATCCAATAGCTTGTCCCCGTTAGTTTTTTTTCCCCTTTTCCTTGTCCTATTGGATGTGCAGCCATGATGGCTGGATCGCCGGCAACCACATTATAAACTTAAGGGCAAGCACCACATCATAAGGATGGAGAAGAACAGAGTTGGATGGGGCCCAGGTCTTTGATGACATGTTGGAAGGATGCCCCTTAAGTCTCTGATGCCTGTCACCTAAACAAACCCCTTCCAGATGGCGGTGGTCTGAGCCCCCACCCCCCACCCCTCCCTAACCCCTGTACTTTCCTTTCTCCCCCTGTTTACTGGGTTCTCGTCTGTTGGGTTTCTCTCTGTTCTGGAAGTCATCAAGTCTGCCTTGGGGCCTTGGTGACTCCCGTCCCTTGATCCTTTCAAAAGATGGCTCCTCACCCAGGCCTGTTACACATGCCTGGAATCCCAGAACTAAGGTAATCATCAACTACAAGTGAGGTCGAGGCTAGCATGGGCTACATGAGGCCCTGTCTGGGGTGAAGGCAGAGTGCTTAACGCCTCAGTGAGGGGTCACTCCCTAAGAAGCCATTCCATACCCTGAGTCTCTCCCTCAGAGCTGTCTTACCTGGCTTCTTCAAGTTTTCTTTCATTAAGGTTTGCTTACTTCATGTGTGTGAGTGTTTTACCTGCATGTATGTGTTTTACCTGCATGTATGTGTTTTGTCTGCATGTATGTCTATGTACCATGAATGTGCCTGGTGCCTGAAGAGGCCAGAAAAGGACATCAGATCTCCGGCGACTAGAATTACAGACTATTGTGAGCTGCCATGTGGTTGCTGAGAGTTGAACCTGGGTCCTCCAGAAGAGCAGCTGGTGCTCTTAACCGCTGAGCCAGCTCTCCAGTCCCCCTTACCTGACTTTTATACCCATAAGACACAGGTTCCCCGAGGGCAGGGTCTGCACTCCCCTCCAGAGCTCTGTCCCAGAGCAGGGCTTACTGAGCAGAGTCCAGACACGGGACACAGTTCAAGGCCTGCATAAATGCCGTCTGTCTTACAGCTTCTGTCATTGGTTCTGGACACAGATCGTGTTACCAAGCAGGTATGACAGCAGGAGAAAACAGGGGTCTTAGGGACTTGAGCCCCACCCCCTCCTGGGAACCTGAGCACCCAGGCTGAAGATGGCACTGTGGCCTTAGTCAGCCTGCTTCCTGGGACTCACAAGGTAAGAGCATCCCTAAACCTGGGAGAGAAGCTGTGACACTCTGACAAACAGATGCCAACACGTCTCTTGTTTCCTCCTGTAAAGAGGGGACTCTGGGAACAATGTGTCTGGCTGGTCCTTGCTCTGAGTCCTATACATCATGTAACAACCCATGGCACAGTCGACAGGCCCTGCTGGCGCTGGTTAGCTAAGGAGCCAGGTGATGGCCCAACTCCCAACTGCAGCATTTGAGGGAGGTGCATGGGCCCATCGACTTCTCTGAGGTGACAAAGATTGCATTTGTTCAGATTCAAAGGCAGTTTGCATTTAAGGAGCTGTCACCTGTAAGTCTGTCCTGTCCCGTCGAGTTGCTAATAACACAACAGGCTGGGTAAGTGTAGCTCAGGGTCTGCTCCCTCTTGGAGGGGCAGCACCCAATGATGGCTTTCTTGCTGGCAGATCCTGAAGCAATGCAGGCCACCAGAACATAGACACAAAGGGAACACGTACATGTGCTTCACATGCACCCACACTCCAAGTCACAATGCACACACACAGCACATGTGTGCAAGCACATATAGGCACGGACGTACATGTACCTGTATGGAAACAAACACATGCACAAAGACACATGTACACATACTTACACATGCAAATGTTCACACATTCAACACATGAACATACACAGGTGTGTGGGCACATACAAAAACACTTGTGTTGGGATAATCTTTTTGTACACTGTGAAGATATGTCTCTGTCTTACCTCACCTGTCTAAGGCACCTTCTGATTGGTCTAATAAAGAGCTGAATGGCCAATAGCTAGGCAGGAGAGGATAGGTGGGATTTCCAGGGGGAGATAGGAACTCTGGGAAAGAATCTGAGGCAGGGGATTCACCAGCCAGATGTGGAGGAAGCCAGACGTACGGTACTAAGGAAAGGTAATGAGCCACATGTCAGAACACAGTTTAATAAAAGCAAGTTAATTTAAGTTGCAAGAGCTAGTTGGGAACAAGCCCAAGCTAAGGCCAAGCTTTCATAATTAATAGAAAGTCCCCATGTCATTATTCAGGAGCTGGTAGTTCAAAGAAAGACCCGCTAC